ATCTAAACCATATCCTCGTATCACTCCTTCAATATCACAATTTCTTAATTGCTTATTTAAACTTTGTATGGTGTGGCCTTTTGAGCGGATTTGATCAGACCTATTCACACTGGACGCTGGCTTTCTCGCCCCACCTCTCTACCATTGTGCTGGGAAAGTTGATCTGAGTCTGTCCTATTACTTCACATTCTTCTTCCACTAAGTCCGATCAGGGTCTCCCGCTTGCCCCGTATCATCCGTACGGTTTTAAGGACGTATTTTTGCTATACTAATCGACGCCAGCTCTACTCATCGTTGTGGGAAAATTCCACTACCAGTCCTTCATTACTTTAAGCGAAATAGGGTGAATACATCTCATATTTTAGTAAATTGTTGGTTGATTTGGCTTTTGTTAGACTGCATATTCTGCGCTATCGTTAATTCCACAAGTTGACTGAGTAGATTTATACTGTAAATGCGTTGGGCTTTGTTTTGTTGTTACTATTATTATTTGACAATATCCATAGCGTTTCTACTCAAGACGAGGCTCTTCATTATAGGGGGCGACACGGGCTGGCCTTGGAAAAGGCCATCTTTATAGAATCAAGGGAATAGATACGAAGCTGGCTTTTAGTCTTACTTCAGACATCATTTTACACATCTCCAACTTGACTTCACTTTGGGAATAACGTTTCTTTCTGTTGATCTTATATAAAATAATTGTTTCTCCTCCACTTAAGCCAATAAATTGTGAAATGAAAATAAGTAGGCCACCAAGCTATGCATTCACCCACTTGTGTTATTTTCTTTCAAAATGTATCATAAATGTCCTTTTTTATTTCATCATATTTGTCCCATAAAAATTTATGATTAGAATATTTGTTAATTTTTCTTACTGGTTCTCTTCCGCTTTATTTTTTTATACAATCAGCCTGATGAGACGGGGCAGACGGCTCGTTTCGTCTTAGAGCACCACTTGTCTAGTCGGCATTCCTTCCTGGACGCTTGTCTAACTTATCCTTCTTCTGTGTGCCAGGCTCTAGCCAATGTGGCTCTGGCTTCTGCCTCTACATTCAACACTAATCTTAACCCTAATAGCGCCTGCAGCATCGGTAACGATTGTAGCACGCCTAGTAGATTCTACCCCGCCAGTTCTTCTCTTTCGATCACCAAAGCACTTGCTTCTACCAACCATGCTACAAGTGATCTTTCAACTTCCACAACTTTTGAATCTTCTGCCTCTCAAGCATCCGGCCAAACAAGTGGGCAGCGACGCTTTATTGCAGTGGCTTGCCAGGATCGACGACTTCGGGTATACAACATCTCTACAGGTCGCCAAGTACGCTGTTTTCGAGCAAGCCATTCGGAAGAGGGCGTCGTACTGCGCTGCACCACTGATCCGACAGGCACTCTGTTAGCCACATCCTGTACGTAAAACCCATTGACCTCTGTGCCATTAGTGTAGATATATTGAATTCTTCCCCTAACTTTCTCATGTAAGGGTTAGCTACTTAAGGTTAGACTGGCACGGTTCAAACTAATCCCTTCCTTCTTGTTTTTGCTTCCAAGTGCGTTCAAAATGGGACCTCGTTCTTGTTCTTTGTCTATCCCAATACTAAATTTTCCGCTTCGGAGCTGTGTTGCAGATTTTTTTATAACTAGTCACTTTTCTTGGGGAAATAAAGTATTTTTTATACATCTGGATAGCTCGAAAACTTTGTGTTTCTATAATAAGTGGCTAAACTGTCTGGTATCTTCTCGGTTAACTATGGATTGTCGTTTTGCTATAGCATGTGGGCTTCTAAAATCTTTCGGCCAATGTTCGAATCCTCCCGACTGTATTTAGGCTCAGAAAAGGTCATGTTACAATGAACTCATCCGATTAACACAACTCCTTCTTTATTATGAGCAGATCAACTATCCTTGCCTTCGAAGACATGAAGACCAGGATGGTGTGGCCTTTTTTATGGTCGTGGTCTCCTCTCGTTTATAAACTGTTTGACCTTGTTTTCGCAGCTTGGTCATATTGGCAGAGAGACCTAGAGTAAGGCACCTTGACCGGAGTCCATAGTATGCATGATCATTTCCGGAGTCGGACCGTGGACTTGGTACATTCATAGACGTTTCGTCGGCATCGTCAGTGAGTCTTGCCATTGCTAGCACCACACTATTATTCGTCAAAGAGACAAGTGAACCCGATCCTCTTACCAAATGTGTGCTAAACAGTTGTGGTATCTCTCCTGTCTTCGGCTATTCACCTATCCTATATCCTCGTATCATCCCTTCAATATAACAATTTCTTACTTGTTTATTTAAGACCTATTTAAAATCTATTCACACTCCCCGCTGGTTTTCTCATCCCTTCAACTGTGCCGGGAGTGTTGATGTAAGGCTGTAGTTTAATCTGCAATCTCATTCAAATCAACTATAACCATCCCATTTGGGGGTTTGTATGCAATAGAGCGTCACAGATGAGCAAAAAAACCGTGGTGGCCATTTCTACTTGGCTCTTAGCAGATAAGTTTGCTCATAGACTTGGGCTATGCAGTAAACGCTGGACGACGAGATTGACCCGGTGTACATGCCGCACAGCGATAAGGGAATCTGCAGCGTCAAGTTAGGTTGCCATGCCAAATGATAATTCAGACTTCAGGGGCTTTCTCAGTGAGGCTGGTGTATACGTGCTAGGAAAGTCTTGAGGAAGAGTAGCATGGATATGGTGGCAGCGATACAGTGCAAGCATTGAAACAGGCAGATGATGGAAGGATCCTACAGAGCAAGAGGGGACTTTGATAGGACCCGAAGGAAAGGATTGACGATTAAACCGCAGCCATGGCTTAACGCTCCCAGCACAGTCGAAGAGATGAAGAAACCAGCGGGGAGTGTGAGTGAATTTCAAATAGGTCTACATAAACAAGTAATAAATTGTGATATTGAAGGGGCGATATGAGGATATGGGATAGGTGAATAGCCCAGGACAGAAGAGGAGATACCACGGTTGTTTAGCAGACAATTGGCCAAAGGGTCGACTTCACTTGTCTTTTCTTTGCTAAGAATTGCAAGGATCACTGACGATCTCGGCCAAACGTCTGGCAACGTATCAAGTCTACAGTCCGACTCTGGAAATTATCGTGCATTATATGGACTCCGGACAAGGTGCTTTACTCTAGGTCTTCCTGCCAATATGACCAAGTTGCGAAAACAGGGTCAAACAACTCCTATCCTTGCCTTATTAAACAAACCACTACCGCTACACAACGAATCAAGCCACTATGATTAGGACTCTGCAACAAGCATGAAACAATGTACAACTTATGAAATTAATCTGCTTGAGGCTCAGGCGAGTAAACAACAGAATATTAGACTCTGTAGAACTAATATGAATTTTAATGAGGGATCTAAAACATTGGACTAGCAGGGATCTAACACACCATCCATGTTCACAAACATCTTAGGCAATAAAGCAGTCACGACCCGGATGGAGCTCTCAGAACGAAAGAATACTATCCTGGAAGCATAGTGAATATGGAAAGAATCGTTTACACGACTGATCAACTTTACTATAAGGACGGCATACTTTCCATTTAACGACTGTCTATGAGCAAATATTTGGACTACATATTGGCAGGTATTTATTAGGACAAATTGGGAAAGAGATTCGAGAAGTCACCGCTGCAACCAATAGTGCTTATGTGAAATCTTTATGACTACCCTGAACTGTGGTCCCATTTAAAGGAAAATTTAGCCAAATCCTTGAACTTTCTAAACCGATTTGATGAAAGAATCAACTTTACGATAAAGGTCGAGTTGTGTGAATGATTACCTTTTCCAGCTGCTGGGGCCATTCGCTCCATCAGGGCACTCAAAAAGAGACTTCATAAAGAAATATGCTAAGATTATCCTTAATATTCAGTCACATCACAGTTACAGTGTAAAGATATAAATAATTAATTGTTTGGTCATCAGAAGCTTAAGTCTAACGGAGATGGATTTCTGGGATGAGGAGTTAAACAAACTGACTCCGATTTGTCATAGTATCTGTTGCGTTCAGAGAAATTATACTAAGAAATACTAGGAGCACAAAGAATAGCTAGCATTTAGATATGAAAATAGGATCAGGAATACGATCAAAAGTGGTGAAGAACTGAAGTCTGAATTTTCCCACAACGATATGAGTAGGCCTTATGTTTCCATTGAATTTCACATAGCCTTGTTTCCCAAAAGGTATTCTCAACCTGGCAGGAGTGGACTGCAGTTTAGACCTTGCCTGAACTGGTCTCATCACTATCTCCAGCGGTACTCGGACCCGGATGGTGAGGCTTATTCAAGGTCTATTGGTAGTCTCGAAAGCTTACTTGAAAACAAAAATAAGTAATTTATCTATTTATATGGCAAATGCAATCCCACTAAAGAATGTGATATTGAAAGGTATCTGGCCTTCTCTGAAATTCATCTCTGCTATGTTACCAAGAAGCACTTGTGTCGTGACTATATGCTGGACTTACCGGGTTCGAGTACCGCTACGGGTGCGAATGCGACCCAGGCGAGGTCAAAATTCCATTCCACTCCTGCCTGGATGAGAATACCTTATCTGGAAGCAAGGCCATGTGAAATTCAATACAAATGTGAGTCTTACTCCTATTATTGTGAGAAAATTTTGCTCTCATTGCTTCATAATCTGAATTAAAATAGGTTGAAAATTTCTTATTCAAGATCCACTGGTAATCTTTAACACCCACTTGAATACACAAGTGGATATGTCTTCCCTCCTGTGAACTGAGTACAAAATTGCGACCGTTACTTGGACAATGGTCTATCAAGGTGGTCACGAAGGAAAGGAAAACAGTCTTCATCAGATTCCCGACGCAACACTAGAAGGTTGCTGAATTGCTCGGTAGCTTACCGCATACCATGCAGGAACTGTGAGCAGAAGTATATTGGTAAAACAGAAAGAGAAATCAGCCTCGAATCAAGGGACATCAATGATTCTGTAGAAACATGGATGCTTAAATATAAAAAATTGCAGAATATATTGCATGGGAGTGACACAACGACTGGTCTCATGGAGTAATAATACAAGATAACATAATATTTTAGGGACCGTCGATATTTTTTACTAAAAGAAATCTAATTAATAAGAGGCTGGAAGAAGCAAAGTCATTTTCCGATACTTCTAACTTTACTACACGTTTAGGTATATTACTTGTAAGTAGTGTGAATTGTAATGCCTAATCAAATTATCTATTTTTCTTTTAACCAAGGTTCACATAAGTATCTGAATTTATTCTACTTCTCTTCGGGTGAGTTGCTTGCAACTATGTACGGGCACTCAGAACCTTCAGTTGGCCTCCGCTTCTTACCCGACCTCCGGCACCTGGTCAGTGTCTCCTCAGATAGCTGTATCTTTGTCTGGCGTCTCTCTTCCTGCCTTTCCCGGTTGATGATGGAGCGTCATAGTGTAGGACTCTCAGGTTCTACGACGGCTGCCGCCCTTGCTGCTGCTGGCCTTCGGTTACGCTGTTCACCTTTGGTGCCTAACTTACTTCCATCTACACCAACTTTTGCGGGAGCAGTATCATTCACCTTGCCTGCCTCAAACAGTTCAAGCCTATTCGGATTGCAGCAAGTTCAGCCTCAGAGTTACAATCGTAATCGAACTGAGAATATACTTGCGAATCGTCGTCAGCTTAGCCAGAGCCAGGTAAACATTTCATCAACTGATACTGATTCGTCCGCTATGCAGGCAGCCTCGAGCCACACAAGTCCAGCATCTGTATCCGCTCCTCATTTCGCCCAAGCAGACACAGCAGAAAATGATGATCCAAACGATTTTGATGGACTCGAGGGCGACCATTACCAGACGCCACAGCAAACCTTACCATCAAGGCTTACGTAAGACGCTATGAATAACAAACGTTTTTGTCTGAATCTATGCCCTTAGGCTAAGTTTATTTTAGGATAAGAAAAATCAATCTTATTGTACCCTATGTTAAAGAATTTTTTCCTTATTTAAAGTTAATATGGATTGAACACCATTTCTGTTTCTTCACACTCTTTGGTAGAATTCTATTCCTGAAAGTCCCTATATATATTCTCACATGCTTCTCCAAAGGCCTTTTATAGCAAAGGCGATAAACACTTTCAAGCTGAAGTAAGTCCTTCTATTTTACGAAAAGGTCAGGACTTTTAATTTAAGCCTTTGCAGTTTTGCCATCAGCTCCTGGGATATATAGCTGCTGACAATGAAAAATTGATTCTTAAATACTTTTTCTATCAATTTGACATAGATCATTTATCATCTGTTCATGTGCTTGGTTGCGAATATGAAGTCAATTTTTATCAAGCATAAATGATCTTATTTCTTTTCCATCTCAAAGACCGTATTTTCTTGCATGCTTTGTGAATGGCTGAGGCAAAATCAAATTTTCACTAAGGTTTCTGTCTTAAATCCTTTGTTGTTTGTCTCATGCTCAAACCGATAGTCTTTAGTTTGCTTTATTACTTTTTGTAAGATTTCCACGCTCACATAGTGACATTCTTACTGGTATCATTTGTTTTGCAACTGCTCTATCAAATGACTATT